TATATTATATTATATTGTATTATATTATATTATATTATATTATATTATATTATATTATATTAATAATATATATAAATATATATATTATTATATTATTAAATAATCATTCAAATAATTCATAGTAATTATAAAATAACTAGGAATGACTACACATGTTCATTTGTGATCAAAGTTATTAAACCGACAACAAGAATTGCAGAATTTCTTTGCTAATTTAAAAAAGTTTGCTGCTCATTCTGTAGAGAGTAAATCATGAAAACACCCAAATCCTTTTATCTACTAAAGTGTCCACAATGAGAACATTTATTATCAAGTAATGCAAAGTCTGTCCATGAGGCAAATGTGTCACCATGTCTGGAAAAATATGAAGAATGAGTCACTAAAACAAAAGCACCATCTTAAGAAATATACCTGAGGAAATATTCCCCTGCAGGACCTCTGAGGGTGCAGTTCCCCGTATTCTCCACCGGGGGGCGCTGAGGAGCAGAGCCTCAGAAAATATCTGAATCATAGACTGATGTTAATTAGATTTTGCCCATGAATACTTATGAAATATTTCCAAATGGGACTGTCTGTTTCTTTCATAGCTTTTCAGACATGTATTTGAATGAAAACCACAAACTGGTTTGTTCATTAAAAGAAACAATGGAAACATTCAGTTATACTTACTCATGCACATCGATCAAAGAAGTTATTTTAGTACATATAATGTATAGAAACTATTTATATAATCTGAATTTGGTTATTGCGTTTGTCTGTTTACTGTTAAAATGAAATAACTAAGTAATTAAGTCGCTGTGAAACTCTGAGACTCTGGAAACACTTCAGGTTTTAGCCTCTGTAGCTAATTGCTAAATGCTTTTTTTTAACTTGCTTTTAGAGCAATTTATTCAAAAATACTTGTGGCTGATGTGTAAACATGGAGCTTCTGCATCTGCAGCCACTCACACACAATAATTACATCCAATTTTTAGGGGTTTTTGTAGGTTTTAGGCTTCTTTTTCTTTCAGAAACACACTGTACTTTTTGTTCTGGCAAGTCTTTGTTGTTTTACTTGTTAAAAAAAAAGAGCATTGAGGTTCTGGAGAAGTCTGAGAAACGAGGGCTTTCTGCTTTTCACACTTCTGAACAAAAGCACCAAATCAACACAAAGACTGACTTCCTGTTGTCAGGACTTTGTTTGAGCTGGTTCAGTTTCACACGTTTATCCTCACAAACAATTACTTAAACTAAAAACTTCAGCTTTATCGTTGGTTGGTGGTTTATTAGAAGAGTTTAGGTGGTTTAACAACAGAGATAAATCCTGCAGCATCCAGGGGAAGAGCTGGAAATCTGACCTTTTTTTAGTCAGATTACCAAACATCCAAATAAAGCTGCAGCTTTATTTGGATGTTTGCTTTGTAATAACTAAACTGCTCTTGCTCACATCCCACCTTTAGACATTCTGTGATGTTTTTCACCAACTATTAGTTTATATTTACAGAAAACAAGATTTAGATCGGACATTTGTGCGTCTTTTCCTCTCATATTTCTGCGCGTTTTCTAACAAGAGGACGGAAGTTTGTTCTCAACTTTTCATTTATTATCAAATACAAAAGTTTTATTGCACTGATACAGCTGTAGAAGCAATGAGAGAAGAGCAGTAACGTCTGGTTCCTCCGGTGTGAAGTCACATCTCCTCTTTTAACTGAAATAGTGGCTACAGTGGGTTATATTACATAATGTACATCCGCCTGTTTTCAGACAGAAAAGGTCCATAATCGTATTCCTGTTAGCTGCCGCTGCCCACAGACTCTCTGACGGGCAGCGCCGCGGTGGGTCCTATGTGGGTCCAGAGGTAGCCTTTCTCTGGCCGGATGGGGATGGTGGGAAACGGCGAGCTCCGCGATTTGAAATACTCGGAGGGGGCGTGGCACACGAATTCCAGGAACTCCATCTTTCTGGGCAGATCCTCCTCCGGACCTGACGGGAAACAGAGGGAATCTCCACAGTCAGACACAACACAGAGAAGAATAAAACTGCATGTGTCTGGATTAGGCTTGTCCAGATCAAGATTTTGATCCTGATCCCAGCCTATCAGAGCATGTGTTAAAGTTTAAAGTTATTTATCTACTTACTTAGTTGTCAGACTCATGTTGAACATGGATTTACTCTGATAACAACTTAATAGTTAGGAAACCTGTGGGTAATGCTAATGCTAATGCTTAAGGCTGTGCTGGAAAATGAGCGGGCCGGATTTTAGGGAACAACACAGCAAAGTGGAATGGATTATTTCAATTGGTGTGCTGGAAAACACGGATCTGACTTAAAAAAAAAAATGGATCACCTCTGTTACCGATCCCTGCCTATCAGAGCATGTGTTAAAGTTTAAAGTTATTTATTCTACTTACTTAGTTGTCAGACTCATGTTGAACAGGGATTTACTCTGATAACAACTTAATGGTTAGGACACAGACCTGTGGGTTAAAGATGCTAATGCTAACGCTAATGCTCGCGTGGGATCGGACTTTAATCCAATCCATCCAATCCACCTTTATTTATATAGCACGATTTAAACAAACACAGGGTTTTCCAAAGTGCTGCACAAAAACATATCAAAGAAAAAATAAATAACAGTAGAAATTCAGCTAAAAGTAAAAAGAAAAAATGCATGAGTATACATAGAATCAACACTCTCCATGGTGTCAAAAGCCAAAAGCCAAAGAAAAGAGGTGGGTTAAAATGAGAGAGAGCAAGAAACTGGATCTGGAGTCTGGATCTGTATTTTCTCCAGCCGGTTGATACCCATTTTTTTTTGCAAATATCGAGTCTGGATAACAAATATGCATTTTTTGCAAATATCGGATCGGGACAGGTCTAGTTTGGATAGCTGCTCACCGACTATGTAGGTCCCGGGATCGAAGTGGTCCTTGGGGCTGGCCTGGGTGGGAATCAGCCAGGTGAGCGCGGCACTCTTCTCACAGTACTGGTCCTGGACAAACCCTCGGATCTGGGCGTAGTAGGACTTCCCGTCCTCCTCGTCCGTCACCTTGATCACGTCGCCCGTCTGGTAGTAGACGCCCTGAGGAAAACATGAGGAAGTAGGAAGGAAAACATCTGGATTAGGACATAACCTGGAACGTGGAGCTTTGCCTGGTCCGGAGGGGAACACGGTACCTTATAAAATACTGATTCTGATGTAATGATTGTTGCTACGGACTCAGGTGCTTTGATGGGCTGTTGGAAGAGAAGGAAAGGCGTCAGGCCCAGAAACAAATCAGGAAACAACAAGAAAACAAACAAGAATCAGCCCGTGTTACTTACGTTTTTCAGTTTAAATATATGCCTTCTTCCCTTTCCTTTTGTCGACACTTTCTTCTCTGAGGCGGGAGCTTTGTACTTGGTGCTTCTCAGCCTTGCAGACCTCCTGTGGATCTCCTGCTTGGACTGCAAACAGATGCCTGTCAACACCTGCATCCACCCTATTAATTAAACTCTACTAAAGCACCTGAACGCATCACGCTGGCTACACTGAACGCAAACGAACCGTTCAAGCTTCATATTAACTTGCAAACACAACCGGACTGCCTTGTT